CATCGCGCACCCTCCCGAGGAGGGGCTTCGGCGGGTGCTCGCCCCAAACGCTCACTGACAGAGGAAACACTGCAGGAAGCCGGCAAAGCTCCGGAGCCAGGTTAGCACCCAAACCTGCATCGATGTGCCTCGCTCACCGGTGCCCCGAGTATCCTGTCCTCAAGCTGCCACAGGGATTTACATTTACCAGAGATTTAGAAAGCGTTGGGAAAGGTGATTTCCTAAAAATCCAGACGAGGCAGCAATGAGCTGGGATTATATATCAAAAGCCACTCGCTTCCAGAACCCTGTGACCTTCATTCACTAAATTAATGCTTTTCAGTTTTACTTAGTGTGGACTTAACCATTTCAACAGACTCTTGTTCATAGTTAAAAATTCCACAATTATTTTAAATTTTTTTTCTTTTTAAAGTCTGATTTTCCATTTTGAAGATGCCACACTTCAGTCTACTTTCCTTAAATCTTGAAAAAAATTACTACCTCAAGCCTACAGCTGAAAGTTTTTTCCGTATGATTTTCAATCAAAATTTCGGGAATAGAAGAACAAACAAAACAAGAATATACCTAACATTCCCAGTACAATGAAAGCCTATAGGCAATTATCTTTTTAAAAGTTTTTCTTTGGTTTTGTTTTTTCCAAATTTCAAATCTGTGTCCATTTTTTTTAACTTACAACCCCATAGTCATAAAAATGGCATGGCAGTTTTTTTTCCCCACTTTTTGATAGCTGTATCTGATTTAATAATTAGATACAAGACATCACTAATAAGCTATGTAATTCTAACAGCAGAACAGATTGATTTATATTGCTTGCTTTTGTTGATGTAATTTTTAAATGTCTGAAAAATACGAGAAGATACATAATTTTAGTCAGTTTAGTCATGAGCTGAGGAAACTCCCAGTAAAACAGAGGGCTAAACTTTATATCCTTATATTTTCCATATATAATATATGCACTTTTATCTATTTATACATTTATATATAGTATATAATAGGAAAAAGGAATCACCAAGAAACATTACAGTTAACTAGTCCAAGTTGTCGCACCTAGAACAGGAGAGGAGGAAGAAGCCCAAGGCTTTTTTTATTTCCTTCATAAGCATTTCTAAAATATCTCCGTCAGGGTTGCTTATTTACGGTCACTGACTCTTGCATGCTGTCAGTCTCATGCTGTCTACAGGGCACCTCAGTACGCGATAAAGAATCGCAAAATAGCAAAGTCTTCCTCCACACAGACAGACTGAAGGCTCCTGGGAACAACTGCCTGCATCCACGCTGCTGCACTTGGAGGCCTCGGAGCAGGACAGGCAGAATCGGAGCGGGACAGACACGGACAGCAGTTTTCCCAGCAGTTAACCTGGATAAAGCATCCAATGTTAACTAAGGGATGTAGCGAAAGAAAGGGCTGGAGGACTGGAAACCTTCTTCCAGTGAAAAAAGGAGTTCCTCATAGGTCGTGTCCCAGCCCTTCTTGCCAGTAACCTCAGATTCTCACAATTCCTGTAAACAGCCTGAGACAACCATTTAAAAATCTATTTAAATGCCTAATTTCCTTGTTTTCCCTTTGACTGCAGCCTCTGCTAGTGGGATAGTCACTTAATTGTCCTCTACCTTTCCTAATCTTTCCTCACTTTTTATGAACTGTATTTTTCACCTCCATTTTGAACTCCATTGATCCCACTTCTGTAGCAAAAAATGCGAATCACCCACAGTAGCAAAAATACTGAAGCCACGCTGACAGTCTCTTTTACCAAGATGCAGTCCCGTGCAGGTCGATAAGTTTCCCAAGGGATTCCCTGAAGTCCCATCCTCTTCGCTTCTGGCCAAATGTCACACAGTCTAGTGTACACTTTCCCAGTCTCCAGGTTGAACTGTATCTGGTTTTGCTAGCTTTTAAGGGATTCAGAATTACTGAAGTTATATGAACAAACACGATGTGCATACCACTAGATCTGCACTTTTTGGCTATATCTGTCCTGCATGTTTCACTATGTTGCTGAAACGTTGAATGAATCTGACTAGTTCAGGCAGATGATGTTCCCAGCAGACATGCCCTCGTTCCTTGAGTATGCCCAAGTTCATTACTACACACCAGTTGCCTATCACCTGCAAATTCCCCATGTACTGCGCTCTCATCCCTTTGCATGTCAGGGTTCTCTTATAACCCTCTTCAGCTATTTTAGTTTCATCCCAGCCATTTCCTTTCTGTTAAAGACTGATTCCCGCATGATTCCTTCAACACACTACACCTTCCTCCCATCTTTTGTATTTTTTTTTTCTTGTGTAGGAAATAGATTATTCAAGACATCAACATACTTGAACTGGAACTGAGATGGAGGTAGTTATAATAAAATGCTAACAACTGCCAGGAAAATTACACATTTGTTCAGAGCTGCTGGGTCTGCCAAGCAGCTGCCAGGAGCACTACGTGTCTCCTCTACTCTTCTTCTAGTTTACTTATTTTCACCAAAATAGGGCGTTGTTCTTCAATTCCCAACTTTCAGAAAACATTCCAGGCTTGATTAGATGTGTCATTCAAAAGTAGTCACACAATGGACAAAGAAACAGAGGAATGTTTTTCTGTTGAAATGAGGGCTTTTGATGCGTGCTTAGGGTGTGCTTCAACATTACACTTATCTGTTGGCACATCCCTCTGTTGTGTTAATGCAACTCTGTAGGGAGGCCATCTATAAACGAGGTTGCTTCCACTAACACAGATTATTTCACCGAGCTGGCTTGTAGTGCAGACTTCTGAAAAGTTTCAACAGTAAAATTCACCACTCCCACAACTCTAGCAGAGGAACAGAAATGCATAGCGGTTGTGTAAAGGAACTCTTCAAGAACATTAGCGCTAGAGAAATTGTAGGTCAGATGTACATCCTTAATTAAAGACCACTGATGCCGTTAAAAATGTTTCTGTCCCTCACCTGCGTGCTACCACCTCTCAGACACAGATTAACATGCCGCAGCTGCTGCAGAATGGTCAAACATAGGCTTGAGCACAAGCAGTGGGAGCCATGGCCTTCATCATAAGATAAAACGCAGTCCAAGCTGCTTCATCTGTTTGTGAGGTGAAGACTGTCTTGCAGGCAGTGATTCATGGGTGAAGACGGCACAGCAAGTCAGGCGACGGGTATTTAAAGCCAGGGGAAAGTCACGATCAACTCAGCATGCATACACCAGAGGCGGAGCAGGCAGCTAACCTGCCAGGAGCTGCAGCCTTCAGACCTTGACCAGCTCAGCCGGATTTCAACACAGGTACTGCTGCGAGGGGCAGGCTCCTGCCTGAGTGCCCAGTTTGGGCCCCGCTTCACATGAACCTACCCCCTATGTCCTATACGTTGCCTCCTTTTGTGTTTTCAGCCATGCAACTACACCATGCAGATTAAACACACAGGATTTCAAACTTCCAGGAGGTATATAAAACTCAACAGGCATATTCCAGGCTTTGAAAACTCAGATCAGAGACCTTTTATAAAACGTTACTCGCCCTCCACATCAAAGCCATGCCCACAGGCGCTGCCTACTGCGCTTTCTCCCCCCAAAAAAGTGAGCCCACG